AAGTGCAATGTGAACTGTGGAGAACGTGGGCATGTTAGGTAAGCTTCATCCAGACATGAGTTATAGTAAGGTTAGGTGTGAATTCAGTGTTAAAGAATTGGTAATAAATATTAAATGAGCTGACTTGAAACAGTAACATACGTGAAACATGGATGGATGGACTGATGAAAATGTTACAACCAGAGGCTCACAGAAACCTGTAAGTCTCCAGTAGGAGAAGGTGTTCAGTATTCATTTATTGAGTGTTCATGGCAACATTATAACCATAACTAACAGAAATAATGACAACAACTAATATTTCTTTATCTTAATTAATATGTAGCTCATTGGTGCTAAAATTTAGCTACCATCCGGAAGAAAAGGGATACATTAGATCAAAATGATAAAATGTTTCTGGACAAATTTTAAAACTAATTGACAACAGGGTTAGTAATTCATTCTATATATTTGCTACTTTTGAGCATTACTAGATCCTAATCACTACTAAATTCATTTCCTTCTTTCACTTACTGTACAAAATTCCTTTTAAACTCCTAATTAAGGTTAAAAATGTGTGACATTTTTAATTAAGTTTCAAAAAAATACTTTTGTCACAAAATCTGAGTCTTTTTTTTTACAGGGGGCATGTTATTTACAAATTAGAATAAATCATAATAAATTTATGAAGCTATTTCTTGTATTTTTAAACTTCAAATAAAATATTATGTTTTAACACTTTTATACCTGTAGCACCTGATACTACATATAGTCTTGCCCTTTAAGACTTTATGAATTTAACACAAATTAATCATATCACACTTGCAAAGAAAAAGTAGATACCTTTCAATTTTCTAAGTTAAATATTTCATGTTTAATATAACTATTGCATTATAAAACCATGTGGTTGCTTCCTAAAATTAACATGTTAAGTAGATGTTTAAAATTATTTATTAATCTGGCCTCTAGTTACATGAGTCTATTTTTCAGTTTATTTTCTTCAAACAACATTCACTAGTCAGAGTATATGCAATTTTGGGTATCTAGGTATTAAAAGATGTATTCATACACCTAATGCTCCCTAGATCCTTCAGTCCTGGTAGGGTAAAATGACAGATTGTTATAGCAAACCACCATAAATTCAACAATAGAGACTTGCATAGGTTAGGGGGCAGCACAGGAGGAAGATTCCTAACACAGTCAGGGGACGTCAACAAAGGGTCCAATGGAGGTAGGAAAAGCAAGTAGAAGAAGAGATAAATACACCTGAGCTAAGCAAAGGGACGGGACGGCATGTGTAGAAAGAACTCTAAGCACAGGGGGAAACATAAACAAAGAAATGGGGGCAAAAAACAATCACCATGTGAGGGAGATACTCAGAGCATTCTGGAAGAGCAAAGATGG